TGGTGTTCATGTGATTCGATGCGCCTTTAAAAATAGATTAATCAGCTACCGCATGTCTCCAACCGAAACTCATGTTAATGTTTCTGATTTTATGAATGATATAAAAGCGAAAATTGTAAAAGTGATTAATGATCAGTTAAAAAGACACAACCCTTTAAAAATTAACTTTGAATTATTTGGCGCATATTACTTGGATACGAAGAATATCACCGATATCAAGTCTTTCCAATCAAAATACCAAGTAATCACAATTTCCGATCCCATTGAAGATCTTTTTCAATCTTTATCTGAAATTGTGGATCGAAAAAATTCTGAATTTCAACAAAAGGATTCTGGTAAGTTAAAGATGGTGTATTAATATATTACTAATTTTTGTTTGTTACAGGATGGACTTTGGTTCAACTATTGTATCTGGAAATTAACATTCTTAAATTCAACGCACTTCGGGCATCTTCCTATATACCATTACCACCGTTCATCTCAAACAAGAAGGCTGTTCTGAACATACAAAACAATGATGAATACTGCTTTGCATACTCTTTGGTTGCTGCATTATTTAATCCTAAAGGTTCTCCCCAATTACCCTCATCGTATCCCAACTTCAGGGATGTTTTCAACTGGAATGGTGTCCAATTTCCTGTATCTATGAAGCAAATTTCAACGTTTGAAGCTAACAACATCAACATTTCGATTAACGTTTATGGTGTAGAAAAAATACTGAAAGATGGAACAACTTCATATGAAATTGTTGGTCCTTTATACTACAGTAAGTTAAAAAAACAGCATCATATTAATTTGTTGTATATTAGTAATGACATGGGTAATCAGCATTATTGTTTAATTAAAGATTTTTCAAAATTAGTCAGCAAACAATTAAGTAATAGTAATGGTAAAAAAATTTTTTGCGATGCTTGTATCCATTACTTCCGGACAGAGAACGCTCTGAAACGCCACACAGAAAGAGATTGCAATCAAGTTTATACCAAATTACCGAGTACTAATCCTAAGGTTGATAAAACTGGGAACATCTGTCCCGAAAATATTTTAACCTTTAATAATTATCATAAACAAATACGTCATCCGTTTGTAGTATATGCAGATTTTGAATCAATGATAGTACCCATTCAAACAGTTGAACCTAACCCTCTTCAATCGTTTTCAATACAAACCCAGAAACATGAACCATATTCGTGGTGTTATTACATTAAGTCCACATATAATGATGAATGGTCTATCCTTCGACAATATCGCGGCGTAGATGCCGCTACTAAATTTATAGACAGTTTAGAAAATGATATTAAGGAAATCTATCATAAACATCTAAAAAATCAAGTACCAATGCAACCATTATCGAAAAATGAGAAAAAAAGTTATGATGATAGCACAACTTGTTTCATTTGTGGAAATGAGTTTGTCAGTGGTTCTGAAAATGTTAAAGTAAGAGATCATTGTCACGTTACCGGTAAATATCGCGGAAGTGCTCATTCCCGGTGCAATTTAAATTTTAAGCTTCAAAATTATATACCAATATTTTTTCACAATTTAAGTGGATATGATTCTCATTTATTTATTAAGCATTTAGGTAACAAAACCGATGAAATTAATGTTCTCCCTCTTAGCACTGAAAATTATATAACTTTTAGCAAACACCTCTTTGTAGATGAAATTGAAGTGAATGGAAAAAAAGAAAAAAAATTTATAAACTTGCGATTTCTCGATAGCTTCAAATTTTTATCGTCATCCCTTGACGTTCTTTCTAGAAATTTAGCAGATGATCAATGCTCTGAAATAAGAAAATTTTTTAATTGTGATGAAGAATTTAAGCTTTTACGAATGAAAGGGTGCTTCCCATATTCATACGTAGATTGTCTTGAGAAACTTGATGAAAAAAATATACCACCTTATGATCAATTTTATGATATTATGAGGGGGGAAAATATCTCATTGGAGGAGTATGATCGAGTGTTAAATGTATATAATGTATTCCATTGTAAAAATTTAGGAGAATACTCGGATATTTATTTAAAGTGTGATGTGTTATTATTAGCTGATGTATTTGAAAACTTTAGAGACCTGTGTATGAAAATTTATGGATTAGATTCCGCGCACTATTTTACTGCTCCTGGATTAACTTGGGACGCAATGTTAAAATATTCCAAAGTGCGATTAGAGTTACTCACAGATATGGATATGTACCATTTCTTCAAAAAAGGTATCCGAGGTGGTGTGAGCACCTGTATTACAAGAAAAAGTGTTGCCAATAATGAACATCTTATGGATTACGATCCCCAACATTTAAAAAGTTTTATTCAGTATTTAGATGTTACAAATCTTTATGGATCAGCAATGCGGGAATATTTACCACATTCTGGGTTTACATGGTTAAGTGAAACAGAAATTCAAAATTTTAACTTGTTTGATGTTGGTGATGAGGATGATTTGGGTTATATATTAGAAGTAGACCTACAGTACCCTCAGTCTTTGCATTCCTTACACAATGATCTTCCATTCTGCCCAGAGAACATTGTACCTCCAAATTCTAGACAAAAAAAATTAATCCCCAATCTTTTTGATAAAAGAAATTATGTTATCCACTACAGAAATTTAAAGCAAGCTTTAGATCACGGTTTAGTATTAAAACAAATCCATCGCATATTAAAGTTTCATCAAAGTCCTTGGTTAAGAGGGTACATTGATTTAAATACAAAAATGCGCAACAACTCTCCTAGTAAGTTTGAAAAAGATTTTTTCAAGCTAATGAACAATGGCGTCTTCGGAAAGACAATGGAAAATGTAGATAGACGAAAAATAATAAAGTTGCTAACTCACTGGGAGAATTTCGGTAAACGTTTGGGAATGGAGAGCTATGTGGCGAAGGTCAATTTTAAAAGATTTGTTCAATTTAGTGAAAAATTATTTGCTGTAGAAATGGGTAAATTATCAGTGCTTTATGATAAGCCCGTATATGTAGGTTTCACCATATTAGATATTTCCAAAATTGTTATATACAGGTTCTTTTATGATGTCTTACGTGCTCAATACGGTAGTAATGTTTCCTTGCTTTATACGGACACTGATTCATTGATTATTGCAGTTCAAACTGATGATTTATATCAACATATGAGAGAAAATTTACACGAATATGACACGTCAAATTATGTTAATAATCTACATGGGGTACCAACTTCAATTTCTGTTATTGGAAAGATGAAGGATGAATATGCAGGAAAAGCAATTAAATGTTTCTATGGTGCTGGCGCCAAAGCTTATTGTGTTAAACTGGCAGATGATAAGCTAGTGAAGAAAGCAAAGGGTGTAAAGAAAATCGTAATCAAAAAAGTACTTACGGAATTTGACTATAAAAATGCTGCTCAGCAGGAAAGCAAAAGTATATTTTGCAAAATGTTTACATTTCGATCCACTTTACATGATATATACACTGTGCTCATTAATAAAATTTCACTTTCTTCAAAAGATGATAAAAGGTTTATTATCCCAAATACTTGCAAAACTTTGGCTTGGGGACATTTTCAAATTCAACAATGTGCAACTCTTGATGAAAGCAATAATGGGCTGATCTCTGCAACGATGGTACTGGGTGAAAACAATGATAACGTTGAAAATGATAGATTAGATTTTTTAATTAAAAGTGTAAAGGAGGTTATGGTTGATATACAAGCAAATGAAAGTGTAAATGTAGTTATGGCCGATATACAAGCAATTGAAAGAGTTACCCCTGTTATTACAAGTGCATCGAGTACAGATATAGAAATTAATGAAATAATAAATGATGCTTATAATAATTTAATTACCCCTGTTATTACAAATGAATCGAGTACAGATATTGAAATTAATGAAATAATAAACGATGCTTATAATATTTTGATGAGTTAATTTTTGAGAGTAATTCTAGTTTGTTACTTTTACTACTGTAAAAAACAATTAACCTTAAATGTGTCTTTATTAATGTAATTATTTATTGTATATTTATTGCATATTTTGCCACTGTAATATAAAATATTGAATAAAACAATTGACCTTAGATGTGTCTTTATTAAAAAAGTAAGTTTGTAATGTAAGTATTTACAACAACAATAATTAGTGCATAATATAATTATTATAAACATAAGTTACGTTTGACAATGCACAATGACAAATTGGTCGTGAATGATGGTAACATGTTGCTTCCAAGGATGGTAGTGCCGGTTCCTCTTCAACTTCGATAACTTTTTGTGTTAAAATTTTACGGATGAAGTCAGCCTTTTCCTTCCCTTTTACATACACATCCTCATTTGTCGATATTAGACGGTGCAGTATCGTGGAAAACATGTGAGGTGGTGTATGTCCCTCTTCCCATTTAATGCAATGATGATTATGCATCAACCAATTGGCTTGTCGTTGAAACTCTACATCCAAGTTGCTCCAAGGAAACGGCGGTTTAAAAACATAATGTGCCAATTGATTACCGTTGTAAACTGCTAATTCTTTTGGTATAAAACCATTCTTAGAAGATTTGAATCCTTGTACGTCAACTACAACAACCATGCTTCCTCTGTAAAGTGTAGGTTACGACTGATAATGTTCCGTTTTCTAGATGGTATATATATATATATATACTAATCTAACAATAAGACAAAATAGTTTCAGTTTCCCTAACCAGGTTTAAACTTGTCGCACTGCCTTTGTTAATGCGTTGTAGGTAAATACTCGATCGTGCAAAATCAAACAGTAGGCTATAGTATCTTTTGGGATATTGGCATTAGTTTCAAATTCGATTCGCAGTACCACCGATTTGGAATTCAAACCTTCTTTTTGATTTGAGCAATCGACAACGATTAAAGGAGCGATTTCTTTAAATTCTTTTCGGTTTAGTACAGGTCGATTTTCTGTGCCATAGTAAGACGATTGAAACTTTGCGTACATGTCGTATAATGTGGCGTACCGATTATTTCCATAATTAATGTTTAAATTATCATAAGGATAACGTTCCGTATTGAGAAACACACGTACATTTTTAATGTCACAGTGATCAAATTGGCTCATATCTTTACTAACTTGCCCATCTCGATTTGTTTGAAAACCGATGATGATATATCGAGGTGTTTCCAAACTGGTTGTCGTCTTTATAGCCCATGTATGTTTATCCGTTTGTGGAAGAGCTGGGTATAGGTGTGTTTCCCAACTTCTAAACGCGATTTGGGTCTCCGAATTTTTATCAATGTATTTTGTTAAAGCCAATTCTTCCGCAAGTGCTGGAATGATGTGAGGTACTTTCCAATGGATCTTCTCAATGTCTACTTTAAGAGCTTCATCCGCAACTGTGGATATTACAGCATCGTCATCTGCATTGCTTCGTATGAGAACAAGTTCCTGTCGTATATTTAATATCACTTTTCTATAGTCCTCGGCAAATCCCAATAGAAGCTTTAGCGGTATGCAAATGTTGAAATGACCTGTTGGGTTTGTAATTGTACTAGTACTGGTCGGGAACCATCCGCAATTTTGATAACGCGTATTATCACTAGGAGTTAAGGATACTAAAGCCTTCATAGTTGATGATAACCCTGCTTTAGTTATGGAGTCGACGACTATCCCGTTTATTTCATAGCGAATTTCACTAAAAAGGAATGCAACGCCATTATTTACAAATTTTGCGTTAAGTGATGCAGTCCCATCTTGCCGCAGTAATCTTCCCTCAATGTAGAGGTGACTTTCTGAGGGAAGAGTGCACATGTCTTCCTGTATTGGAATTCTAATTTCATCATTATTTCCAAATCTCGTAGTGTACGGTTGGTGTGTATGATATTCATAATTTATTATACTGTTGTCCACTAACACTTTTTCGTTTACGTCTAATATATTCATTTTAAAATGGTAAAACCCAAAGATTTTAGAAAAGCCTTATTGGTAGCTGTTAACGGTTTGGTTGTTGGACGTTTACTAATCTTTAACCTAGCAACCTTGGGTCTTTTATTTTGTTCATGTTTACATCCACATCGATTATATAATTTCACCATTATCCACTTTTCTTGAGGTGCAATCCTATCGTGATTACTTCTCCGTTGAAATTGACAACAGCACCGTCTTGATCGAGTATTCTAAGAGTTATGTTGGAAATGGTGGTAACGTTTATTGGTAAATAAATAACATTTTGTGGACACTCTATTATCTTATAACCTGCAGGAACGTTTGGGAAGAACTGGTAAATGATGTGGTCAGGTGAACCGTTCTTATAGTTGCCCGTTGTAATGTTGCACTCGACCAGTAACGAATTAATGTGCAAAATATCAACAGGATTTGTTGCAGTATGTGTAATTTTTGGAGGGAGAATAATTTTTTCAAATCCCAAGAGCGATCCGATTGAATTAGGACTTGTAAAATCTATTTGTTGTGTTGACTTAATGGTAGCCCTAAGCGTATTGTTGTTAGCGAGCAGATCTACAAATCCTCCAAATTTTGCAACCTCGCGTTTTATATATTTATCCAAATCAGCTACTTCATAACAACCGGGTGGAATTTCTATAGTCGTTTGTCCAAACTGAAATTGATTATTAGCGGATGTTACGTTTTGTATTGTGTTGTACGTTTCGAAATTTGTTAAACCCAAAACGTATTCTTTGTCACTATGGAGAAATATAGGTGGATTAAAATCTGCCGTTAACAAAGGTTTAGTTCCAGTGAAAGAAAATGTGAACGACATGTCGATTGCTTTGTAACTGAATCACATCACCTTGCGTTGTTGTATAAAAAACGTAGCACTAAATGTCCACAATTGTAAGTATTGAGTGCTTGTAGCTGGTCATAATTGTATTCAATTGTAATTCCGCTACCAACCCCTCGAAAATAACGGACGAGTTCTAATGGTGGTTTCACATTACCAACACTATCAAAATACAAGACGTGTTTACCACGTTTGATGTATGCCGTCCAATGTGTACCTTCATTCTCCTTATCATCTAGATTGATGATTCCACATTCGTTTTGACGTACAGATGATGGTAAACTGTTGCGCATGTAAATGCCTCGAAAATCTGGTATTTTTAGCATTTTGACATATTTGGTAAGGTCCACGTCCGTTAATGCGCGATGTGGTAGCTTCACTGGGAGTTTTTTTGATACGGGTTTAAATATAGTCCCAGCCCCTTTTTGTATGGTTTCAGATAAAGACCTTTTCCAATGGCGGCGGCCTCCATCGCTTGATTATGTCGTTTCGTCTCTTCTAAAGCTTTGCTAGCATCTTTTGCAGAATTTACTGCTTTTGCTATGGCTGCTGCTCCTCCACCTAAGGAACCAAGGGCGCCCAACGCTGCAAACAGTGGAATAAGGGGTAGAAATCCACCTGTCTTAGGTAGTGGTAAAATTCGTTGTTTTGGGGGACGTATTTTCTTTTTCTTCAATGCACCGAGAGCTCTTCGGACGGTTGTTTGTAAATTGGAATGTATTTTACCACCTATACGTTTTCTAGCTAATTTGATAGCGTTATTGAAAGTAATAGGAGCGTTCCGTTTTCTCTTTTCCTTTGTACCCATTCCGAATGTTCTCTTTCCCTTCATTGCACCTGCGACAGTAAGAGCGGCTGCCTTTTCACCAAAACTGGCGTCTTTGGAGCGAAATCTAGTCCACGCTTTCTGTTGTAGTACCTTGTCCGCCTTATGACGGTCACTTAACTCTGTAGACTTTGAGTATGCAATATCATGTTCCTTACAAGCTTCGTCTAAAGGGTTGACTCCTGTGTCACCACGTGCCAGGCGCTTCTGTAATCGTGTTCCTGGACCACAATATCGATATCCGGGCAAATGCAACTCTACAGGTAATTTATTTATAAGAGTATTAAGGACTCCTTTGCCCTTTCGGTTAGCTTTATGAATTTTCTGAGAATAAACCTTCATGGATAGGTGTTGCTCCTGCAAGGAGTTTATTTAATATGCGAATCGCACACACACTTTTCCCAATTATATAGCCTCGTATATATACGTGGTGAGCAAGACAACAACCTCTCAGTATCACAATGACTACAATCCGCTTTATGCCTCAACTTATACAATTACCTATAAAAAACTACGATTCGTATTCTACAGAAACGCAATATCCAAAACATAGTGACCTGTTGCAGGGGGGATGTAGGAGAGGATTAATAGTAGGTCCTTCAGGATGTGGAAAAACTAATGTTATGATAGCGTTATTAGAACATCCGAATGGTTTGCGGTTTGAAAACGTGTATGTGTACAGCAAGTCCCTATATCAACCAAAATATGAGTACCTTCGTAAACTACTACTGCCACTGAAGGGTATTGGATTTTATGAATACGATGATAGTTCCGATGTCATACCTCCTAACTTGGCTCGGAAGAATTCGGTTATGATCTTTGATGATGTAGCGTGTCATAAACAGAATGAAATACGTGAACATTTCTGTTTCGGTAGACATCAAAATAATGACTGTTTCTACTTATGCCAAACGTACTCCTCGATTCCAAAACAACTGATCCGCGACAACGCAAACTTAATTATATTATTTCAGCAAGACCTAACCAACTTAAAGCACGTGTACGACGATCACGTTAATGTAGATATGTCTTTTGATCAATTTAAAGAAATTTGTCATCATTGTTGGAGTCAAAAGCATGGATTTCTAGTACTCGATAAAATAAGTGACATTACCGCTGGCCGATATAGAAAAGGATTCGATTGTTACATATCCCTATAAATACATCCATTATGTTTCGTCTATCGTAGTTATCATGGAAAAGCGTTTGGCAAAAGACCTGATACTTGCTCGCAAATCTGTCAAACAGAAATATGACAGTTTGAAGCAGGATATGGCGGTTACAGAACGCATGGTAGAGCAACACTTTAAACCCATTACCCAACCGCTAAAACAACTCTTGACAGTTACTAAGTTAGATACCGTCAAAACAGAACTACCAAGTGTCAAACGTCAATCACCAATATTTGCCCAACAAACTCCGAGAACTTCCACTCCCCAAAAGGTGGCAAGAAACCTTTTTTCTATCGATGAACCCAGTGTTTTGCATGAGCCTAGCATTTTAGAAGATAGCGAATATGGAGATCCCACTCCAGAAGACGATATTGATGTACCGACACTTGACGACTTGCGCGAGGAATTGTCCCACGTAGGAACGAATCCTGCATTTGAAGAATTTCTCGATCAATACCACGGTTTGCCAAAGATATATGTAGAGGGAATATTTAGGGACACGAATAACGAGTATGACCATAAGTATGGCGTCCGCTATGAACCAACATTAAACAAATTTTTCGTGGGTGATTCGGAATTAGATTTTGCTAAGGAAGATATTGTGATTGTGTCTTCTAATGGAGAACGCTTCACATACAAGGGAACTCCAGGATTATTCGAACTACTCTTTAAAAGAAATCCCATTGGCTTTAAATCTGCAGATTCTAAAGCTTATCGTGATATTATAATACGCACTAGTGCAGCACGTCGACATTATGATGCCAAAGCTCAAATCCAAGGAAACGGTCAACCAAAGTATGTTCAAATTATTAAACCACTGTTGCAAGGATCAAGTTCATCAAGCGGATTCTCGTCATCACATCTAGGTCCAACACTCAGACAGCGCGCTCTAACCCTTTCTACGAAACGGGGAGGTACTTTATCAACTCTACAGCTTAACAATAAAAAAATAGAATTTGTTCCTTGGAATGATCCAAACAAGTTAGTGAATTGGTTAAGGGTGTTATTAGGATCTAAGTCTGCCGGGAACACGGCAAATCATAATGAAATAATTTACATAACTGAAGAGTTGCGTAATTCTGGTATAATACAATGAGAAGGTATATTTATTTATCAGTAAGACCATGGCGCTTGAACTACCTTTAATAATTATGGGTTATCAACACAGTTTTACACGTAGAATTACTATTCATGGGGAAAAAGACCATATTTACTTGTTCCCAATGAAAAAAGCCATCGTTGCAACGTGCAGATGGTTTCCATCTGACGCTACAGTCCACATTGCTGGAAAAACCTATACGGATCCATCTACAATGAGAGGGCATGTGTTAACATTTAATGATCAGATATCAGCACATTGTAAGAAGAAATTACAGAGGCCATTCTTGTTCGAGGTCATATTGCATGTTCCTTTGCAAGAAGAATAAAGGTGCGCTCTTATTGCATTTGAATTCATTACAATTATGACTCTCGACAAATTTGGACGACACATTCACGCGCACCACTATATGTATGACCCGTCAACATATACTTATGAGTACCAGTTTGAAATAAAAGGAATAATGCATAAAACAGCATCATCGTTTTACCTTTACCATAGTGAAGAAGATACTAGATATAAATTTCCTCTTACTGAAGGAACCGTTGTTAGTTGTTCATGGTTTCCTAAAGATAGTAAAGTAAATATAAATGAGAAAAAGTTTGACGCTCCTTCATCGTTGATCGGGTTGACATTGAAAAGAAATGATATATTTAGTGTATCATGCGACTCTGCTGGTGTAGGTGTCGGATTTTATCTGAATGTCATATTGCAATCCAAGCTTAAGAAATGAGTAAGGAAGTGATAGTGGAAGAATTACATAAACCGACAAGAAAGAATTTTCCACGACGATCTGTGGTGATCAAAGGTCTTAATGATTTATTTCAAGCCGATTTAGTTGAAATGATACCGTATGCTGGGACTAACAAGGGTATTCGCTACATTTTGGTAGTTATAAACGCATTTTCAAAGTTTGTTTGGGCATATCCTATAAAACGTAAAAATGGAAAACTCGTAGCAGACGCTATGAATAAACTGTTATCTGGACTTAGAAAACTTCCAAAAAATTTACAAACTGATATGGGAAAGGAATTTTATAATAAGAAC